GAATGGAATATTGAAACGAAAATGTCTTTATACAAATCAGGAAATGTCAGTCAAACAAACAATTGCAGAGGTATATCTGTTTTGAATGTCGTGGGAAAACTATTTGCATTTATTGTTGACAAACGACTTAGAATTTGGCTTGAAGTAAATGATATGATATCTGAAGCTCAAGCAGGGTTTCGCTCTGAGTATTCTACAGTTGACAATATATTTCTTCTACAGTCACTTTGCTTGAAATATTTATGTGAACCTAGAGGTCGTCTTTTTTGCGCATTTGTTGATTTCCGCAAAGCTTTTGATTACGTGGATAGTAAAATAATCTGATGTGCCTATTGATCACTAAAGGATGTCGTGGAAAACTCTCAATAGTTCTTAAGAATATGTATTCCTCAGTCAAAGCATGTATTAAAACTGACTCGGGTATAACTCCTTGTTTTACTACTTCCAGTGGCGTTCGTCAAGATTGCGTCATAAGCCCATTCTTATTCATTCAAAGTTTACAAAGAATGTCATCACGGTGTGTTTGTTATACAAGACATTGTAGATATTATGTTATTGTTGTTCGCGGATGATGTTGCTCTGGTGTCCTACTATACTCGCCACATAAAGAAACTGTGCACGGAGAAAATATAGAGGCAATAATGAGGCAACAACAGGTGGCAACACATTTCCAATGCCATCGTAACACGATATCGGCATTGGTGAGGCGTTATCAGAACACAAATGACGTTGCCGACCACCCACGTTCAGGACGTCCCCGAGTAACGACGCCAAGACAGAACAGTTGGATTCGAGTTACACATCTCCGACACAGGTTCCCAACGGCAGTAACGACGTCCCAGACAATTTCTGGACTGCGCCGTATCCATCCCAACACTGTCAGGAATCGTTTACGTCAGTACGGGATTCGACCACGACGCCCTGCCATACGTCCCATCCTGACACACCGTCATCGAGTCAACCGTCCAAGATGGTGTCGAAATCATGTACGCCAACCTCGAATATGGTGGAGAAATGTTGTCTTTACAGATGAATCGAGGTTCAACATTTCCCATTGTGACGGGCGCCAACGTGTCTACCGGCGTTTGGGAGAACGTTATACACGCAACTGTATTGTGGAGAGGAATCGTTTTGGAGGTGGCTCTGTGATGATTTGGGGTGGGATAACAGCACGGCACCGAACCCCTTTGGGGGTTGTTCAGGGCAATCTCACCGGTGATGGCTACAGAGATCAGATTCTGAGGCCTGTGGTCATTCCTTTCCTGCATCGTCATGGCCCGGGATTGACATTTCAACAGGACAACGCTCGTCCTCACACGGCTAGGATCGCAATGGATTTCCTTCACCATAACAATGTCATGTTACTGTCATGGCCTGCAAATTCTCCAGATCTCTCCCCAATAGAGCATGTGTGGGATGAAATGGAGCGCCGTCTGCGTCGTCTTCCACATCCTCCAGATAACGTCCGTGACTTGGCACAGGATTTGAGGAGGATATGGCAGGCCATTCCCCAGGCCTTCCAGGCCCATTTGGTGGACTCCATGCGTCGCCGATGCACTGCTGTGATTCACGCACAGGGTGGTCATACCCGTTATTGACTTTGTGACTTTGTCGTTTTACCCCCTACTCCATTTTGATCTTCTGACGTCATCGTAACAGATGTTGTTCAGGTCCCGTTGACATTAAATCAACCTGAGAAACTCTGAAAACATTCCATCACCATTTGCCCCAACGAGTAACACTTCTGTATCAAATTTCCTTCTTGTATTTGAACACATGACGCTAGGGGTATATCATTGTCAATACATTGTCATTGTGTGTACACATGTGTAGGGCAGAAAGCCACGAGGCTCCTTCGTGATCAACTCCCCTTCTTGAAGGTTACGGGAAAAAGCGAGAGGTGACGGAATGCCACGAGCTGCACACGTTACTTACGTTGTCAAGCGAAAAACGCCGTTGCCCTAAATGACATATAAGCTGGCCGATTTTTTTTGTCTGGACCCGGATACATCAAACCTCCATTAACAAATTGGAACACTGAACATTAATGATTAATTCAAATGTATTGTTAGTTAATGGCGACAGGTCATAAACCAGTGGTACTTTAAGGATAGGGTTTATATCAAGGTGTGAAATTAGAATATTCCGCTATAATTTTCAAACAATTCCTTCTTAGAAAACGGTACGTTTTGTTTGCTATCATCTGCATTGAGTTGAGCTGGATGTAGATTGAAATAGCTTTTCTCTCGACTCGAAAGTTTGAAAGTACCAAATGCCAAATGCATCACATCTGACGTTCAGTTTATGATGTACAAACGTGTTGTTGGCGTATCCATGATAAACACAAAGTGTTTTGTTGGAGCCTGTATTTCATCAACATATAAGTACATATTTCTGGAAATGTTAAGATTAATGACACAAGGCACAAGTAGCACACACGACACACGTTGTCAAGCGAGAAACAATGCCGTGTATGAAATGTAAGCTTGCACGTTGCAAGCGAGAAACAATGCCCTGTTTTGACTTCTGTCTGGACCCGGTTGTTTCAAGCCCTCATTAACTAATTGATCATAAAACCCCAATGGTTCATTACATCGTTAATGTTTCATCAGTTAATGGCGGCATTAAAATTCGTTTACAAATTCGGTATTAAACTGTTTTTAACTAGCGGTACTTTCAGTATACGATTTCCATCAACGTGTCATTACATTAGGGTATTTCCCAACATTTTCCGACAAATCCTTGTCATATTTTGTTTGCTGTCATCTGCATTCGGTTCTAGATGTAGATGGAAATACAGTTAACTACGGTTATAACGAACACGCTTATAACGAACTGACGGATATAACGAACTTACTTATTGGTCCCGACTACTTGCTGTAGTCATGCTGTTTATGTACTTATAACGAACTACGGTTATAACGAACTAAAATTAGTAGTCCCTTTGAGTTCGTTATAACCGTAGTTTACTGTAGCAGTTCTCTTGACTCGAACGTTTTGTTAACATAACTGTCACATGTATCACTTCTGACGTTCATAAGAAAACCTACACCTTTATGGATAAAAACTTAGGTTCTTACTCCGTTATCAACCTAGAATACCCACAACCATGTTATGAGACGTGTATACATGATATGTTGTGATACGCAGGAGACATTAACCACAACAGATAATAGATAATAAATAGCATGGATAACAACGGTGTATATGGCTTCATTACCCCGGTGACATTTGACATTTGTACTGTACAACTGGCTTCATCCAATTATCTGTGCGCTATTCTGTGTGCTAAGTGGAACGCGCACTTGACAATCAGACGGAACACTCAGTGTCCTCGTGTTGGGTTTATTGAACCCTTATGGTTGATCTTATTGTTTCATTAGTTAATAGCGGCAATCAAATTCATTTAACTATCATTAACTAATGGAACTTTCATTTTACGATTTTTTATCAACGTATCATTTCCTTAGTGTATTTCACTATAATGTGTTAGCAAACGACTTTTTTGTTTCACCTCATCTGCATTGAGTTAGCTGGATGTACAAGGAAATAACCGTTCTCTTACCTCAAAGGTCCAATAAGTAATAATACCAAGTGCATCACTTCTGACTTTCAGTTTGTGTACTTAACTTGATTAGAGGTTTCAACGCAAAAAACACAAAGTAAACAAGTAATGGATAACCAATAGTATGGATATCAGTTGTATATCTGGTTTCATGTGTACCATTTGTTACTTTTACTGTACACTGGCTTCATCCTATTATGGAGCGCCTCCGTGGTCTAGTGGAAGAGCGTCCGCCCGGAGAGCGGAAGGTCCGGGGTTCGATCCCCGGCCGCGTCAAACCTAAAGACGTTAAAAGATGGTACTTGTTGTTACCCTGTCTGGCGCTCGGCATTAATTTATTTTTTAAGGGGCTAAAACAAGGACTGGTCGGCTCGGAGTCAGTATACTGTGTCTGGGTGGGGTATCCATGTTAAACTGCGGCATAATATCTCAGTGTGCTAGCACTATAAATCGGCATCAGTCAGGACTAGTACAAACAGCCACACACACACATACACGTGCATGCACGTCGCTCTATAAGCGCAATAATCTTGGACGCGACGTTAAACCCCATTTCACCTCACCTCATCCTATTATCTGTGCGCTATTCTGTGTGGAACGCGCACTTGGCAAATTGACTCAGTGTCCTCGTGTAATCGGGTCCAGATACCGGTGCCCTACACATGTGACATGTACACTAAGATGCACAATACAGGGCAATATGACGTCAAAGGCATGGGCTCCAGGTGGTAGGTGTGGAATATGACCCTAATATGCAGTCTGCGATAACGATCGATACGTGTTATGATAATATAATAATAGGTTATATCATGTCATTTCAAGGTCATACGACGCAGTGACTATTGTGACCCACAGTAGGAGAGATCAGCCTAGGACTTTAAAACAGCGTTCTTATTGAGTCCGAGGCTGATTTTTGTCAAAAGTTATTTAACAGAAAACAAGATCGAGTTGATGTCTTGGCGTCTGGTCCTTGTACACATTTTTAAAACACAGCAGGATTGAGAAATTTCTACTCGATCGTGTAACTTTTGACAAAAAAGCATTTTCTATCAAGATGTCGGATAGTAATGTGAAGCTAGCTGGGTTTTATGATCTAAACAGTATTTCAGTTAACTCAGGACGTGTCAGCTAAATTTAGGTGGAAAGCCCGAAGTGATGCAAGTTTGAAGCGTTCGCGACTTTGGTGAAAGCCACGAGCACGGATATGGTGTTTACAAAACAAAAGGATCATCAGAGCAAGTCTGTTGTTTGAAAACACAATTAGCATATCCAAGCAAATCAAAGCAAATCTGTTGCTTGAAACCCCACAATTGGCAGATCCAAGCACGACTAAGGAGCCCAAACAACGAAGTCAGCCACACGTACTTTCAATTACACGTTCACACACGTACATATATATCTAATGTCTCTCTCTCACAAATTCACTCACACTTACCTAAAATTGTCGTTTCATAAGGGAATCTATTCATACAACTGTCCCAGTTCCAGTGCCACCTGTGTGTCGAGTGTGAAATCCAAATTGTAGTTCGTGTTGTAGTTTTTGTGTGGAGCAGTGCATTATTCAGTTAAGGGGTAACGTTACAATCTGGTATAGCTACTCAAGGACATGTCGCTTGTAACTCACAAATGAGGTTACGAGATGTAGATATATGTGTACATGTTATCAGTACACAATTACAATAAGGCCTTTATGCCGGTGAGCAGGTTATTGTGACAAGTTATCAGAGAGTCCACACACATTCTGCTGATCGGGCAGTGATTCCAGTAGACCCTGAAGAACTTTGAAGCATTCTAGGCATTCTCAGAACCGATTGTGGCCCCATTTCTGCAGCATGGGTTCTTAAACATTTCCAAGACATTTCGGCTAAAAAGTCTTAACTTAGTATATCATAGCTGTGCACATGTAAAAGTTGTGTCTAAAGAGCTATGAGTTTACAAAATAATGGAGTAGTTGTTGTTGTTGTTGTTGTTGTTGTTGTTGTTGTTGTTCCAATATGACCACCATAGCCGTAGTGAGCCTCCACAGGAACTACACGCCTACATTCACTTAAGTTAGTTGTGTTTTTTTGTTTTTTTGTATGATGTTTTGGGGGTGTTGTATTCATATCTTACATATATTCATATAATATTTAGGATAATGTTTTTACGATGTGTCATAATAACGAAAGTATCTTTGGAACAGGGGCTTATAGTAAGTGGCGGACAGTGGTTACTCTTGGCTCAGGGAGTAAAGGTAGTATTTTTCTATTTAAAGAATATATTACTGTGTTTTCTATATAAGATACCAACAAAGCGGGACGTGTGGAAAGCTAATGGAGCCCATCTTTACGTTTTAATTTTAGTTGTGTTGGTTTGTAAATTGTGCAAAGCTCATGAAGCCCATTTTTACGTTTTGATTTTATATTTGTTTGTTTGTAAACTAAGATAAGGACATAATTTCCTATGTAATATGTTTGAATTTTGTTAATCGAGAAAATTAACTTTAACTCATCTATATTATGTCCTGTTGTTTTGTAAAATCATTATATATATATATATATATATATATATATATATATATATATATATATATATAAGGACAAAAAAGGACAAAAATCTTCATTGAAGTTTTGATTTGATGGGAATCTTTTGATCTAAATAATTTTATGTCTGACACCATTGGGGAAAATCTTACATTAATCTGAGAAACTCTGAAAACATTCCTTCACCATTTGCCCCAACGAGTAACCCTTCTGTAGCAAATTTCCTTCTAGATCTTGTATTGGAACACATGACGCTAGGGGTAAATCATTGTCAATACATTGTCATTGTGTGTACACATTGTGTAAGTCAATCTCTTTGAGAGTTAAATAGTATAATATGCTCATGCAGGTAAACATTTGTATGATTGTAGTTTGGGCCAGTGATCTAATACTGTTTGTCTGTCTGTCGTTTATCAATCACCTGTGAATACATACGTCCGCTCTGTCCCTGCAGTTGTGACCGTGTCTATCTTCAGTAAGTTATTGAAAGGAGGCCGTTTAAAACTCATGGATGGACAATTGAACGTTACTCCATGTGTGAACCTTCCCTGCCTTTAAAAAAATGTGTAGAGCAGAAAGCCACGAGGTTGGGGACGCTGAACACTAATGGTTCATTCAAGTCTTATTGTTTGATGAGTTAGTGACGCCAGGCCATCAAACTATCATTAACTAAAGGTACTTTAAGCACACGTTTTACATCAACGTGTGATTAAATTAGAGTATTCAACTATAATTTTCAAACAATTCCTTCTTGAAAAACGGCGCATTTTGTCGCCTATCATCTGCATTGATTAGAGCTGGATGTAGATTGAAATTATATAGAGGTTCTCTCGACTCGAGGTGAGGTGTGTGTGTGTTAATGTGGCTGCTTGTACTAGTCCGGACTGATGCCGATTTATAGCGCTAGCCCACTGAGATACCATGCCGCAGTTTAACATGAATACCCCACTCAGACACAGTATACTGACTGCGAGCCGACCAGTCCTTGTTTTAGCCCCTTAATGCCGAGCGCGAGACAGGGTAACAACAAGTACCATCTTTGAACGTCTTTTTGGTATGACGCGGCCGGGGATTGATGCCCGGACCTTCCGCTCTCCGGGCGGACGCTCTACCACTAGACCACGGAGGCGGTCTCTCTCGACTCGAAAGTTTGAAAGTAATAAATGCCAAATGCATCACTTCTGACATTCAGTTTGTGATGTGTTTTTTAGGCATCAATGATAAACACAAAGTGTTTATATTAGTCCCTGCATTTCCACAACATATTAGTGCTAATTTCTGGGAATGTTAAGTTTAATGAGAGGTTCATGATATGACGGAATGCCATGAGGCTAAGGCACGCGTTGCACACGTTGTCAGGCCAGAAACATTAGCGTGTATGAAATGTAAACTGGACCGGGGATCGAACCCCGGACCTTCCACTCTACGGACGGACGCTCTACCGGTAGAGCCCCTTAATGCCGCGCGCCAGATAGGGTAACAACAAGTACCATCTTTTAACGTCTTTTGGTGTGACGCGACCGATGATCGAGCCCCGGACTTTCAAATCAACCGACTCCACTAGACCACGGAGGCGGTCGTTCAGTTTGAGATGTTGTTTACTTGATTGGAGGTTTCAACGGAAATACAAAGTAAACAGGTGAGGGATAACAAATAGTATGGATACCAACTGTATATGTGGCTTCATTACCTGTGTGCCATTTGACATTTTTACTGTACACCTGGCTTCATCCTATTATCTGTGTACTATTCTGTGTGCTAGGCGTAACGCGCACTTGACAATCCCACTCAGTGTCCTCCTGTAATCGGGTCCAGATACCGGTGCCCTACACGTGGGACGTGTACAGTAACATGCATGATGCACGTTGTGCCATGGTAGTAAGTACAGGGCGATATGAGGTCGAAGCCATGGGTTTCAGGTGGTAGGTGTGGAATATGACCCTAATATGCAGTCTGCGATAACGATCTATACGTGTTATGATAATATAATAATAGGTTATATCATGTCATTTTGAGGTCATACTCACTATTGTGACCCACAGTAGGAGAGATTTGAGTTTAAAACAACAGCGTTCTTATTGAGTCCGAGGCTGATTTTTGTCAAAAGTTGTTAAACAGAAAACAAGATCGAGTTGATGTCTTGGCGTCTGGCCGCTGTACACATTTTTAAAACACAGCTGGATTGAGAAGTCTCTTCTTGATGGTGTTACTTTTGACAAAAAGCATTTTCCAGTAAAGATGTCGGATTGTTTTGTGGGGCTAGCTGGGGTTTATGATCTAAACAGTATTTCGGTTAAATCAGAGCGTGTTAGCTTTATGTAGGTGGAAAGCCCAAAGTGATGCAAGTTTGAGGCGTTCGCGGCTTTGGTGAAAGCCACGAGCACGGATATCGTGTTTACAAAACAAAAGGATCATAAGAGCAAATCTATTGCTTGAAACCCCACAATTAGCAGATCCAAGCAAATCAGAGCAAATCTGTTGCTTGAAAACACACAATTTGCAGATCCAAGCACAACTAAGTAGCCTAACTCTGTACAGCGAAGTCACTAACACTCACCTAAGATTGCACGTTCGAACACGCAGGCACGCACACGCAAACGCACACGCAGACGCATAAGCAAACACGCACAAACGTATCTGATGTGTATGATAATCAGATAATCAGGGGATAAACAGTTGTTCTCTCCCTCAGGCGCCGCGATTCGCTGTGCAGAGTTGCGTCCCTTGGGTACGCCGGAAACCTTTGATTGTGGGTTCGAATCCCGGTTCGCCCTGATTATGTTTCTAGGTTTGTCAGCACCGTACCCGTGCTCGTGGGTTTCACCGAAGTGGTAAACGTCTTCGACCTGTATCGCATCACTTCGGGCTTTCAACCAACATTAAGCTGACACGCCGTGATATAACTGGAATACTTTTAAAAGCGGCACTCAACCCAACGCACTCACTCACTCACACACACACACACACACACACACACACACACACATATACACTCACTCACTCACTCACTCACTCACAAACACTTACCTTAAATTGTCGTTTGACAAGGGAATCTATTCATACGACTATCCCAGTGCGACCTGTCTGTTGAATGTGAAGTCCAAGTATTAGTTCACTTTGTAGTTTTTGTGGAGCAGTGCATTATTCAGTTGAGGGGTAACCATACAATCTGGTACAGTTACCCAAGGACAGGTCGCGAGGTTACGAGATATAGATATGAGTGTCCATGTTATCAGTACACAATAGCAGCAAGGCCAATATGCCGGTGAGCAGGTTTATGTGACGCTGAACCGAGAGTCTGCACACATTCTGCTGATCGGATGTGATTCCAGCAGATCCTGAGGAACAGGCATTGATTAATGCGGCCCCAATTCTGCAGCACGTGTTGGTACAGATTTCCAAGATATTTCAGCCAATAAGTATTAACTTATTATCTTATAGCTGTGCATATGTAAAAGTTCTGTAAAAATACCTCTGAATTTGTTGTAGTTCCAATATGCCCATCACGAAGACAGTCTAAGTCTCCTTGCGAACTACACGCCTACATTTCCACTGGTGAGCAGACAACAGCCTGTCAAAATTCATTGTGCGTTGTTTTGGTTTGTATTCATATCTTGCATATATAAATATTCTATTGAAGATATAGTTTTTGAAGCTGTGTCATTATAAAGGAAAGTGCCTTTAGACCAGGGTCTTATGGTATACGGCCAATAGTAGTTACGCTTGGCCCAGGGAGTTTAATGCTAAGAATTTCTTTACGCATATAGTTCTCTATTTCCTACGTCAAATGCTCACTGAGCGGAGAAATTATGGATGTCAACTTCTTTGTTATGAGGAACAACGTTTCGAAGTATATTTAGGTGAATAAATGCTATGAAGCAGAGAACACTATGTACCTGTAAGAACAACAAAGTAATAAGATAACAAAGGTTGAAACTTGACTCGAGTTTGGCCCAGAAAATCCAGTGATTAATATCATGAGCCTCGATCGAAACAATTTGGATACAATGACATTAACCAAGTCAGTCAGCCTCCCCCAAATGATCCTCTCTCTTCTAAATGCACCTTGTCAAGTTTCAGACTGTCAAGACTAAAGGACATGCCAACATCATTAGAAAAGGACTCGACAAGGAGAATCTCTGTTTTAGTGTGGATTTTCCTTTGGCGGGAAGTTCAAGGTCATCCATGTAAAGGAGGTGAGTAAGATGTGTTGAGATCTGTACTGGGTAGGTCCAGGATGATAACCTTCCTCTGTGCTAAGCAGAAAGCTTAAAGAATTCAGGGACAAACAGAAAAACAAAGGACAAAAAGAATCGCCCTAAAATATTCTTCATCTAATAGAAATGGGTTCCGAAGTCAACACCTACCCCTGCGAATACATCTCAAGTTGAGTTGACAAGCAATTCATTTAAGACTTGAGTAAAACAAGTAGCCGCTCGGGGAGGTCAATACATTTCAGTGACTTCAAAATCCATTTGTGAGATACAGAATCATAAGCTTTTCTGTAGTCTATCCAGCACACTGAGAGGTTATGGTGGTGAGTTTTAGCCTCTTCAATGATCATTTGTTTTTACAAGCAATGGATCATTACAATCCTAAGATCCCTTTCTGGCTCCTTTCTGCTCCATGTAAAAAATGTCATTGGAAGCCATCTCCCCGAGGCAAGAGAATTAACTGACTTTAAAAGTTCAGTTTCCACCCTTGCCGAACTAGGCTGGAATTCCTTGGCTCGATCGTAGCGCCACCAATGGCTATTACCAGTTATGTCCCTTCTGAGCCTCTCCTATGGACCAATCAGATTCCACCTCTCGTATCACTTGCATTTGCTTCAAACAAAATGGCGGCGCCAAGTCAGGACGATTTGCTCGATAGTCAAGATATATATATTGTGATAAAACGGGTCTTACATCGCGATATGCATCAAATCACGTGAGCACCTTGATTAAAAACATGAAAAGATTTTGAAAATATTTGTTGACAACGAGTTCGCGGTGCACACGTTTTGCAAATGCTCCAATCGACCGAAATCTGCATGACAGTTTACGAACAGGATTTCGATTTCGTTGCGCGATTTTGATTGGACTATGCATGAACTCGTTAGTCCAGCCAAGTTCGGCAAGAGTGGAAACTGGACTTTTATAGTCAGTTAACACACTTGCCTCGGGAAGATGTTGGAAGCGCAGTCAATGACACAAGATCTGCAAGACCCTCTGGAAATATTTTGAACTGTGCGTTCAAACAAGTAACAGGGCGGAAGTTTTCAGGGTCAGTCAAATCACCTTTCTTTGGGAGAAGTATTGTTCGCCCTTTGCACAACCAAAGCGGAACATCTACTGTATCCACAAAAGAATGAAAACAGTGAAGTAATGGCGTTTGGCCACATGTGAACAGTTTCAACTTTTCAACGTTTTATTTCAACTTTTTATAGAATGACGTGACCTGAGTAAAGTTTATTCTGGCAATACCGTATTTAACTAAATAACATACCGTATTGATGATAAACGATACATTTTTTATTTCAATGAATTAAATTCCAGATAATATATCTTAGAGAAATACAATATATACAAGACCATATACAATATATAAAAAACACAAATCAGATAAACTAACCTGGATAATGAAATCCTCCAAACAAAAACACCGAGTTCCAAGAATATATATAATATTCCAAATCCAAAATCAGCAATCTACCTCATACCCGCTGCTACATTTTGGAGCCCCCAGTGAGGGGAGACAGCCAAAGAGTGAGACCCGTCCCCAGATACAGATACCGGGTGAGAAACCATATCATGTGGTGATACGTGAGCCATTGACCATATTGTGGCATCTGACTGTATTTGTGTGAGTGGGCGTATATTGGTGCTTGTGTAACTCTACTGAGTACTGTCTGTAAAACTGAAAGCTAAAATGAAACATCTAAAAAATCTACCTGCTATATTCAAATACATAAAACTTGACCAGGCCACAGAAATTCCCATGGATGTAGCTTATCTAATAACGATTTTATAAGCACTTCCGGTTCAGTTACCTTGACCTTCAGTCTTAGCTATGAACTGCGTAGAGATTATAATTATAAATGTTCAAGACGCATTTTCTGTGTACTGACCTAGACCTTCACTCTCAGACACCAGATGTCTATACAGTTTCATAAAATTCAAATTACAGATGTTCAATATATTTTGTATACAATCCTTTGGGGCTGACTATTATACACCAAGTGACCTTGACCTATAACGTCATTCAATCAAAAGAGAGTTCAACGTTGCAGACCAACAATAAACAAAAATAATCACTTTAAGTAGTTCCACACGCTGTCAAACCAACAAGTGCGTGATTAAATGAATAAGCCTTCACGTCATGTTTCCTTAAATACACAGGAGCGGTCGGGTAGCCTAGTGGTTAAAGCGTTCGCTCGTCACGCCGAAGACCCCGGTCCGATTCCCGACATGTGTACAATGTGTGAAGCCCATTTTTGGTGTCCCCCGCCGTAATATTGCTTGAATATTGCTAAAAGCGGCGTAAAACCATACTCACTCACTCTTAAATACACATTGTCACAGAGCGTCAGTTGTCTTATAAGGACCAGACACTCTCATAAAGTTGATTACATAACACTGAGTGGTTTAGGCGCCAGGCAGTCTATGTACTGTTAGATAAACACGCTCCTCCCTTTGTCAACAAGAACACATGCACCTATAGTTTAAACAGCACTGACTGACATCGAGTTACAATTTCAACAAGCCTCTTCCAACTAAAGAAAAATAACATTTGAAAAGGTTGCTTTGATCTTTTGGTGATCTCAAGGGCGTCGCTACATATTGTTTACGCTCCTATGGCCACTGTTAGACACTTTCAATAGATTCATTGCATACTATGGTAAGAATACTTCCCGAATGCAACCATGTACAAGAGAGAGGTGAGGTGAAATTAATCCAAGATTATTGCACTTTTATAGCAACGGGATTGAATGTGTGCGTGTGTGTGCGTGCGTGCGTGCGTGCGTGCGTGTGTGTGTGTCTGTGTGGCTGCTTGTACTTGTCCTGACTTATGCCGATCAATAGTGCCAGCTCACTGAGATACCATTCTGCAGTTTAACATGAATACCCCACTGACACATTACACTGACTCCGAGCCGACCAGTCCTTGTTTTAGCCAGACAGGGTAACAACCATCTTTTAACGTCTTTTTTTCGTAGAAGATCTTATCTTTGAGGAAGTCCATCGTTTCACTTATTGTTTTCTCAATAAACTTCGCATGACATTTTCTTTCACATCTGACAAATTTTCATGAACCGTTGAAGATGTAGCTGTACCTATGGTCACCACGATCAGGGTCAAAATGCTCCATGAATCAAGGAATAGAGTTTGTCCTTACGTTAGCGTGTGGTAAAGTAGAGTAAAATGTGGAAAAATCTTCTTGATATAAATGAACTTGGTTCCTTTCTGAGATTTCAGAAAAACCAAGTTTTTTAGAATCCATATGGTGTTTATTCCACTTGTATTAACCTCTTTATGTGAATGAGATGAAAGTTCTTCGTTTAAGGTATTCAAAATCTTGCTTAATCTTTTAGACAGGGATTTCGTGGTACATTTGCTGGGCCCGGCAATATATCTGTCTTTGGAAGGATTTTTATGGAATTGTGGAAGTTGTTAAGTTCAGAGAAAACACAAGTAAAATGCCACCAGGTTAATCCACAGTACCCTCGTCATATTTATCATCAATAAAGTTGGGCCTGAAATATACTTCGAAATAACCTTGCGTGTTTTATAATTGCTAGTATTATATTCTTTTAGTTTTCAACCTCAAATTCACTCAAATGCTCATGATATAGTCGGAATCTTACAATTGTTACCATCCAGAGAAGTCTTCTGAGACTATGGACGCCCATGCAACAGTTCTTTGGACACTCGCAAAAACTTGTAATTATCAAGACGGTGAAGAAAGCTTCGTCGGGGATCAAACAGTAATGGGGATCAGTGGCAATAACACAAGGAAGCATTTGTTACAAGATACACAACTGAAGTCCTGCATGGGTATGTGCCGTGCACACGCAACTGCAGCTCAACAGTTGAAAACCATCAGCAAAACTGGGGAGGTTAAAGCTCCATCCAAGAAACACGATTCTAAAGCAAGGCGTGATACCTGCCAAAAAGAATAGGACTGCATACAAGTACAGTCAAAAGGGTTGTGGGTATGTAGGTTCTGTGGAACAAAACATGTTTGGAAGAGATCGGTGTCCTGCAAGAGATCGATGTCCTGGAAGTGGAAATCATGTTCCAAATGTGGAA